GCTTGCTCGCTCCCTCAGCACCACTTCAATTCACTTAATGTTTGCCCAATCAAAAGCGGCGGCGCGGCGCCTTGCCGAAGTGGAGGGGGACGGGGGAGCATGGGCGAGCGGGAGATGAAGTGCTGAAGTGTGGGTGGAACCGGCCGATGTGCTCGAAACCATAGTCGGTTTCGTTTCAGCTGAACGCCACGGGTTCAGTGCGCCAGCAGACGAGGAAGGCGGAGAAGTGGGTACATGTCAAATTGTTGGCCTGACGACCACACAAACATCGCGTAATAGCTCGCGTGATAGCATTTTCTTCCAGCCAGTTATGTTTTTGTGTGTTTTTCAATATTCACAACTTACTTGTTTCTGTTCCAGACCAGGACCAGTCACCAACACCGAGTCGACGTCACCATGCCAGTGAAGTGCGAGGTTTGCTACAAAGAGTACGCTTCAAAAAGGAGCCTTACCGACCACATGAGAGTACACTCGGGCGAGAAGCCATTCGAGTGCACCCGTTGCAACAAACGGTTCTCCCAGCAGGGCGGTTTACAAACACATATGCGAACCCACACGGGAGAGAAGCCTTTCGAGTGCCACCTGTGCAACAAGCGGTTCTCCGTCAAGGGTAATTTACATCAGCATCTGCGAACCCACACGGAAGAGAAGCCATTCGAGTGTATCGTGTGCCACAGGGGGCTCACTTCAGCTCACGCCCTGCGGAATCATCTGCAAACCCACACGGGAGAAAAACCTTACGAGTGTACCGTGTGTCACAACTCGTTTGGCGATCCATCAAATTTGCGAAGGCATGTGCGAACACACATCTAGGGATGCATCATTAATTTAGTGCACTTTCTTCTCTCACTCTAATATGTCTGGAACATGTCCTTGTTTATGTAAACCTTCAGAGTGCAAAATGTTCCCCGTCACCTTGATACTGCGTATACCATGACATATTATCAAATCAATCTTGAACGGGAGTTCTGTAGAAATGTTGCGTTTTAAGTCATTTTAGTCTTTTATTATTATTATCACTAATTGGAGATGTCTAAGTTGATTGATGCATCATAAAACATGTTTCGTCCAAATTGTGTGAAAAACATCCTGTAGTCTCAGATGATAAAATTTTGTTTTTCGTACCGGGTGTACCTGTGAATACGCAACAGTGTTGCAGGATTGCACTCAATGTGGCTGCAGGGGCCATAGCCCCTTACGGCTGTAAAGAGTAGGCAAAGCCACAACACTGCTGTGCATTTTACACCCAGTACTTCGAGATCTGAGTTGATTCTGCACCATGACATTTGAATTGAATAGCACCAATTTGCTGAGTGATTTTCTTGTTTTCCTCCCCTTTATTAAAACAATTTCTTGTTTAGTTGATGAACTGATGCTGGGTTCGTCTCAGGAGCGCCCGCGCTCAAACACAACACGGACAGTGGCCGGCTCGATATGTCGTCTGCATCCCCAACCAGCCGTTTCCTCGACTCGGTGGGTTCGACCACCATCAGTTTTTATTGTTGCA